GACTTTGGGTACTTTTAATTTGACTACTAACCAGAAACAGCTTTCACTAGGAGATTTACAAAAAAAAACTAACAACATTCTCTATTTTCACAAATTCTAGCTTTTGACCTGCAAATAATATCATTTTATTAAGAAAATAAGTGAAGTAAATGAAGTATACAAAAAGCTAAATACAAAATGCCAAGAGTAATTTTGCCTCGGAAAAAAATATATATGAAACAACACAAATAATAATTTCTGCCTCACCACTAACTCCACTGTAACAACAACAGGTGAAAAAAACTTGCAGGCAAGCTGAGCTGTGCGAACAGTACCAAAGAAGAAGAATGTATGTGCATGTGCGCTGGTTTGTGCTGTTGTGTGTTTTGTGTGTTGTATGTGCTTTTGTGTGCCGATTGTACCACAGCACTGACAATGTCAGATGGTGGAGCTGTGAAGCTGAATGCACCCGAATGTGCCTGTTGTCTAACCGTACGTACTGACTGGCTGGTATCGGGTGAGATCTCGCGCCAGACAGCAGGCGGCCAGGATGAGAATCAGCTCAACGAGGATCAGCGTGTAGCTGGTGTAGTTGAGGCCCTCCTTGACGAGGCCCAGTACGGGCGAGTCCTTACAGCCGACGGTGAACTGAATGTTCGCCCGACTGCAGGTCTCCTTGGGCGTGGCCAGCGGGACGGAAATGGCACAGCAGCTGGCGGGCACCGCCTCCTTGGTGTAGTCCGCCGGAGAGGTCCATCCGCAGCACTTCAGCTGCAGTTGAATGTTCTGCAGGGCGTAGGCCACCTGTAGGTTGCTGCCGTCGGTGTTGAAGGAGCTGTCGATGGCGTTTCTCAGACCCTTCTCGAACTTGTCAATGTACTCGTGCTGCACCTTGTAGTTGTAGTAGATGCCCACGCACTGCAGCACCAGCAGCAGAAAGACGACCAGACCGTAGACGCGCAGCAGAAGACTGCTCTCACAGCAGGCGCCCAGGAAGCCGATCAGGGCGAGCAGTGCCACCGCAGAGCCAAAGCCCACTACCAGCAGAGCGCCGGTCTGCAGGTTCGCGTCGATAATCTGATTCAGCTCGGCGGTTTTGTTGAGCTGGAAAATTTGCACGCCCAGGTAGATGACAAAGCCGCCGATTGCCTGAAACAAGCAACAGAAAGTGAGTGAGAGTGAGTGACGGTTTCGTTACTTGTTGTTATGCACTGCCACTGACTGCTAGAATCATTCTGGCGAGATCATTCCCCTTTGAAGGTTGTCACCTTTGAAGTACGGCAAAGGGCACTTTGTAATTTATGCCAGAGCACTGCAGTCTTTTTATTTTGTTTTAGAATATACTAAAAAGTACACTTACCAAGCCAATAAAGTTGAAGACAGCCAAGACTATCTTCACCAAAGTACCACCGCAAGATACCATTTTTAAGCTGAATTAGTACGGTAGATTAAATTGACAGTAAGGTTTGATGTCTGCTCTATGAGAAGAAGGACACTAATGAGAACGATTAATAAATTAATAGCAAGTTGTTGGCAAGAGTTGAGTCAGTTGGAGAGTCAGTTGAAAAAAAAATTCAAATAACAAACTGATGATGATGGCAACATACCAGAAGAAGCTGTTGCTACCAACAAGTGATCGGTTTGGTGGCAGTCCGTTCGCGAAACAAAAAAAAGTAGGCTGAACAAGTTCAAACTCGTGTTTGGCAGTTGGTGTCCAAATCGGTCGGTTGAGATTGAGCTTTAGAAAGCTTAGGCTTTTGGTTCTGTCGACAGTGGTGGCCCCTTCTCAGTTTCAGTTCAGATGCAGCAACAACAGCCAACTCAGAAAATCTGTAACCGTCGAGATTAGAGGAGAGAGTTTACTATTATCGTTCACTGGTAACCAACCAACTCTACCAACTACTTACTGGCACTGGTGGTGAGCACACCTGGTTACAGTCAGCGCAGCAATGGCGCTGCTCTTCTCTTCTTTTCTGGTTTCGCACACACTCTCTCTCTCTCTGTGTCTGCCTTTCTTTTCTGCTTTCTGTACGTGCGTTCACCGAAGGGACAGTCTGATGGTGGGGCTGGTTGTGGTGTATCTAGGAGAGGAGAATGGTGGAGAGAGATCTGGAGAATAATAGACACCAAAAAGTGATACTGTTGCTCTGATACGAAAGCTAATGAACGATGGAGAGTGTCAGCAGCAGCACAAGTGGTACAGGTATGTGCTGTGTGCTGTGCTGCCGAGACACATCATGCAGATGCAGCGTTGTCCCCTCACTCACTCAGGTCTGTCTGTTTGTCTGTTCTATTTGATGTTGCTAGCGACTGAAAGTCGATGTGGTGGTCATTGATGCACGACCACCAAGTTAGCTCTCTTCATCCTCGCCTTCTCCTCCATCTCCCACCATCTCTGGTTACCACCAACACGGCGAGGTAAGTGAAACCTGCAAACAAGAGTCACCGGAAATACTGGCAAAGTGAGAAGTGTGCGCTAGCTTGTTTACCAGATTGTCCTATCGAGATTGGATAACCACCATCACGAGCATCATTCCAGCTAAATGGATGGTTTTATTGTGTTACATGTGTGTGGTAATAATGCACAAGCAAAGCTTGGGTAGTTGTACAAATGGAAAAGCAGGAAAAGAGGAGGAAGATGAAAGAATATCCAAAGATATTGTGTAGAGTACTCACAAAAAAGTGGAGGGCTTCAGGTCGTCCGACTTTGCTGACTTTGGTGTGCAGTGAGTGACTTTGTGTAGAAGAGAAAAGAGACAAATGAAAAATAGCGGAAAAGAGGGTTAATTGTACAGAAATATTTGGGCAACGGATATAAAAAATGTGTGAAAGAAAATAGATTCGTATATGAGGCACACGAGAGGTTGTGTAGAGGTGTGTTGGTAAGAAAGGTGTGTAGGGTAAGAAAAGGTTTGGTACAGCAAGGTAAAGCTGATGGTGGTGGTATCTCTTTGTTCATGTTCTTGATCACTCACTCGTCCATCCCCTCTCTAGTAGTTGGCCTTCAGATCACGGGCCAGGCAGCAGGCGGCCAAGATGACCACCAGCTGAATGAGAATGAGGGCAATGGAGGTGTAGGTTAGGTTGCCAGTGATCTGCTTCACCACCGGCGACTCCTTGCAGCCAGTTGAGTAGCCGGAGATTCGAGCACTAGCACCAGAGCAGGTCTTGTCTGGTTCCTCCAGCGAGTAGTTGGTCTCCTTGCAGCAACTCGATGGCACATCCTCAGTCAGAAAGATGCCCTTGTAGTCGCCAATGCCTTCCCAACCGCAGCATTGCAAGTTACTTTGGACCACCTGCAAAGCATAGGCCAGCTTCTTGTCGTCCTTGAATCGTTGAATTCCATTGCGAACACCTAACAAAATTGCAAAGCAATATTTAAAAAAACTGAGCAATAGTGATAACAAATAACTTCCTACCTTCATCGAAGCTCTTCTCAAACTCCGGCTGGTACTTGTAGCCAAAGTACATTCCAGCANAACGAAAAAGCCGCCAACGGCCTGCAAAGAAAGCCTGTTAGTACATCTTAACAGAGGAGCATTATTTTAAAAAGCACTTACCAGCCAAATGAAATTAAAGAGC